GGTGTACATGCTCTGATCTAGTTGGATTTGTAAGCTAGAATTGGGGTCACGATAGTGGTGGGTAAGGGAGGTGGAAGCATTAAAGAACTAGAGGTAAGTTGTATGTTTCATTGGTGCTATACTGCACCCTGACTGGCTCTTCTCTTCCTTGTGACCCTCTCTGTAAGGGGATGTCCAATTGTCTACAGATAGGCTTTGGGTCTCCACTCTGCACTCCCCCTCATTCACATCGATATGATTTTTTGTTCTGGGTCTTTGATGCCTGATCCCTGATCCTATTGACATCTCATGATCATACAGGCTGGTGTGCTTCTTCCATGTGGACTGTGTTGCTTCTCAGCTAGACGGCTGCTTGTTTATCTTCAAGCCTTTAAGACTCAAGATACTATATCTTTTGATAGTGGGGCACCATTGCTTTCTTCACCATATTTGCTTATGCACCCATTTTTTCTTTAGCAATCGTGTCACGGAATGCCAGGTTATTAGAACAAAGTGCTCTTGCCTTCAGGGAGCACCTGAGTAGAGGCCCAATGTCCATCTGCTACCTTAATACTTAAATATATGTACACATATCTATTTCCCTATCATCATATATAAATATATTTACATATGGCTATACCTGTATTTAGACATCTATACATGTCCTTTGCCTCATAGTTATTTCCTCTATTTCCTCTACTTTCCTCTATCCATAACATTCTTACAGAAAATTTAAAAATTTCATCTCACACATACTCTTCATTCAAACCAAAACCCAACATGCTACACCAAAAAATATAGTCTATAAGAGACAGGGTAAAGAGGATATCAAGTCGAGAAAATGTTATCCGAACATGAGGTTTTCTGATGATTTATCATGATTCAAGAATGAAATTGAAGATACTACTTAGCTGCTTTTTAAGTCATTCAGATGCTTTTAAGCCTTTAGCGGAGTATGCCATCTTCTTAGTCTGCCCTCCACTAACAGGGAAAGTACCCATGACAGTGGCTGCACAAGAAAGGGGGGAATATGAACAACCCCTAAGCCATACCAAATTTTATGTCATGTGTATTTCAAGAACATGTGTTTGCAGTAATGAAAATGACCATCCAAGAATGAAAGGAATGAGAATATCCCCTGGAGTTTATTGACTGTCTGGATTGAACTATAACTTGTACAGCAAAGCACATCTTAAAGATGCTCCAGAATAATTTTGGCAGTGGGCAGAGACTCATTACAACCAGCATCAGAACACAACACAAAAGTCGGTTGGTAAGGAGGGTGGCCTCTAATGATTCTCATGTGGACCCATGCGTACAAGTCACAAGCTACGGCAGACTGAAAGAGATGGATGGCATATGGTGATCAAGAGAGGGATATATAAAAAGATACACATACACTCACATATACTCAATTAGTACAGGTCTAGCCATCTTAAATACACATTGCATTTCTCATGTCTAGTATAAATCCAGAAGAAAGGCTTTCTACTCCCATAAAGATGTACAGTCTCAGTAACCCACAGGGGCAATGTTAGTCAGTCCAAAATCTCACTATGAGTCAGCATCAACTCAATGGCAGTGAGTGAGGACAAGTTGTAGTAGTATGCTGTCACACACTAGTC